CGTCGGTGGGTGCGGACATTGCGTGAATGGCCCGATTTACGCGAGATGCCGATTCGAGTGTTCATCCATGACCTTGTTGAATCATGTAATAGCTTCGATAGGCTGTTAGTGGTTAGTTTTAAGGGGCTGCGATAGATGTGTTTTAATTTTCGTATTTTTATCGCTTTGTGGATGACGATTTAATTTTTGCTAGAACATGTTTATTTGATTATGTGTCTAGCTGATTTAAATCAATTTTATGGCATGTTAGAAATCATGTGAATAGGTGCTATAAATTCTTAGAAAGTTGTCATTACTTTTGTTTTGAATTTTAGGAGCATGATAGGAATTGTATTATTTCTTATTGCATGCTGTTAAAACCTTCAAGTAAAAATGACTAAGTGAGTTTAATAAGAATTTTAATTAATTCATTTGGCCTCCACAATTGGTCTTTAAGTAAGGTGTATGTTGCTCGCGGGACCCTGGGATTCTCCCCCTAACGGATGCGGCATTCACGAGCTTACTAGATAAGACTTCTATTCAAAAAACTTAACCTTTAGGTGAAGTGAGTGGAATACGTGTGACCCATGGGGTCTCCTCCCTAACGGATAGTGTCATTCATAAGCTCACCGGTAAAGATTATTTCGAGATTACCGTAGAAAATTATTTACGAGCGATGTGTCTTCCCCATCGGTAGGTTCATCAATTGTGGATGATGGTTCTTGGGGTTAAATTGTGGTCATTACTTAGATGTGAATTTTAATATAACTCTCCAACGGAGTCCCTGTTTTAATTCACATGGCCAGCATTAATATTTCGACTATTAATTTCATTCGCCATAAGGACAGGTTGGCGTGCATTTGAGATTAATGATTGGATGTCTGCTTAATTGAAATATGTGTAAACGTCCACCCAACGTGGCTTGCATGTGTGTTCATTAAGTTGTCGAAGGTTGCATTTAATAATGGTTTTTTGAAGGTTTCCATATTTTATGCTTCATATTTATGTGAATTGTTACTTACGTGTTTGCAATTATTTATTTCAGCTATTCATCATGTCATTCAATCCGCTTATGGTCATTCTCAATCAAAACAAGCTTACTGGTCCAAATTATTTGGACTGGAAGAGAAATCTAGATATTGTCCTTATTCCTGATGAGTACAAGTTTGTGCTCACCACTCATGCTCCTGCTCCTTTGAGCGCCCAATCCACTGAAGAGAAAAGGGAGGCTCATCGGAAGTGGCATAAGGCTGATGAGATGGCTCGTTGCTACATCTTGGCATCTATGTCAAATGTTTTGCAACAGCAGCATCACACCATGCCTACTGCTGCTGACATGATGTTGAGCCTCAAGGAACTCTTTGGTGAGCAAGATAGGGCTGCTCGGTTTGAGGCTATGAGGAAGATTATGTCTTCTGTTATGCCAGAGGGAGCTTCTGTGCGAGAGCATGTTCTCAGGATGATGGAATATCTGAATGAGATAGATGTGCTCGGAGGAAATATCAATGGCGAAGCCAAGATCGATATCATCCTGCACTCGCTCCCGAAGTCCTATGAGAACTTCTGCCTGAATGCAATCATGAATAAGAAGGGCTACACTCTAGCCGAGCTTCTTACGGACTTGGTTGCAGCGGAGGGTCTTATGAGAAGGGGACCACAAGCTCATGTTTCTGTACAAGCTAGATCTTTTTCATCGAAAGGCGGGAAGAAGAAAAAGCAAGTGCAGAAAAAAGGTGGTGGAACCAGTGGGAGCAGTGGGAGTGGTGGGAGCAAAGCAGTAGCGCCTTCTGGTGGCGTGGTGAAGCCGAAAGGCAAGTGCTTCAAGTGCAACAAGACAGGACATTGGAAGTCAGATTGTCCCCTCAAGGACGCTCCTAGTACGTCTCTTGCTTTAGTTGTCGAAACATGCTTTGCGGCTTGTTCTACCAGTTCTTGGGTAGTAGATACAGGAGCCACTGATCATGTTTGTTATACTTAGCAGGGGTTTCTGCAAAGAAGGCAGCTCAGTGAAGGCGAGATTACCATCAGCTTGGGTAACGCTGTACGAGTGGCGGTGGTTGCAGTGGGAGATGTGCACTTGTCTTTTTTTGATTCTGTTTTAGTATTAAAGAATGTATTGTACGTGCCGAGTTTTTGAAAGAATTTAATTTCAGTTTCGAAGCTGTTTTTGGATGGATATTTAGTTATTTTTAATGACAATATTGTTATTATGATAAATAACTCTTTTATCTGTTCTGGCATGTTGGTTAACAATCTTTATACTATTACTTGTGCATATCATGCTGTGACTGAGGCTCATGCATCTTCATCACTAAACAAGAGAAAGGAACCTTCTCAGTCGAATCAGACATATCTTTGGCACCTAAGATTGGGTCATGTCAATCTATGGAATATCCAAAGGCTGGTAGGTAATGGCTTCTTGGATTCTCTCCAAGTTGAACCATTTCCAGTCTGCGAATCCTGTTTGGAAGGCAAGATGACTTCTAGGCCCTTTAAGGCCAAGGGGAATAGGTCCAATGATGTGTTGGAATTGATTCACTCTGATTTGTGTGGGTCTATGTCTATTCAAGCTAGAGGTGGTTTTGAGTATTTCGTTACTTTCATTGACGATTACTCAAGATATGGGTACATTTACTTGATGGGCCGCAAGTCTGAATGCTTTGACAAGTTCAAAGAATTCAAGGCAGAAGCGGAGAACCTTCAAGGGAAAAGTATCAAGTCACTTCGATCTGATCGTGGTGGCGAATACCTTAGCAATGAATTTAGGCAATACTTATTAGAGAATGGGATTACATCTCAGCTGACTGCGCCTGGTACTCCCCAATAGAATGGCGTAGCAGAGAGAAGGAATAGGACTCTGTTTGAAATGGTGAGATCGATGATGAGCTATGCTTCATTACCTACCTCGTTTTGGGGATATGCCTTGGAAACGGCAGCGTACCTTCTTAACTTTGTACCTTCTAAATCAGTTCCAAAATCTCCAATAGAGTTGTGGTCCGGTCGCAAGCCCAGTTTACATCACATTCAAATTTGGGGCTGCCCAGCACATGTATTAGATAAGGAAGCTGATAAGTTGGCACCTAGAACAGAAGTACGGTTGTTTGTAGGTTACCCAAAGGGAACGAGAGGTGGTTACTTTTATAGTCCTAAAGATCAGAGGGTAGTGGTTAGCACCAATGCCCGATTTTTAGAGGATGACTATATGAGTGAGCATAAGTCCAAAAGTGAGATTATTCTCAAAGATTTGAGGGCAGACAATGGCATACCGAGTGTGCAAGAGGATATACCACAAGAGACTGCACAACTTGTTGACTCTGATGTATTTACACCTGAATTGCCTCGTCGTAGTGGGAGGGTTGTTCGTCAGCCCGATCGTTTCATGTTTGTGGGAGAGTCTTCAGACTTGATCCCAAGTGAAGAACATGATAGTGATCCCTGGACCTATAATTAGGCAATCCAAGACGTAGATGCAGATTCTTGGCAAAAATCTATGGATTCTGAGATTGAATCTATAGATGCTATGGATGTATACGACCTTAGGGACCTTCCTGAAGGCAAGAAAGCCATTGGGTGCAAATGGATCTATAGGCGTAAGAGAGGATCTGACGGGAAGGTTACTTCCTTCAAAGCACGGCTGGTTGCGAAGGGTTTCACTCAGAAAGAAGGAATCAAATATGATGAGACCTTCTCACCGGTAGCCATGCTTAAGTCGATCCGGTTTCTCTTATCCATAGCAAGTCACATGGACTATGAGGTTTGGAAAATAGATGTCAAGACAGCTTTCCTTAACGGAAACTTGGATGAAGACATCTACATGCAGCAACCCGAGGGTTATGTAAAGAAAGGCCAAGAGCATCGAGTATGGAAGCTAAAAAAGTCTCTTTATGGACTAAAACAAGCTTCTAGGTCTTGGAATATTCATTTTGACGAGGTGATCAAGTCCTATGGATTTCGGTCAATGTCATGACGAAAGTTGTGTATACAAAAAGAGCAACAGAAACGTAGTGGTATTCTTAGTACTATACGTAGATGATATTCTTCTCATCGGCAACGATGTCAAGATTTTGTCAGACGTAAAGGTATGGCTTTCAAAACAGTTTCAAATGATGGACCTGGGTGAGGCATCGTACATTCTTGGAATCAAGGTCATTCGTGACAGGAAGAAAAGAATGTTGTCTATCTCAAGCTTCTTACATTGATATTGTGATTGCTCGTTTTAGCATGCAGAACTCCAAGAAAAGATTGCTACCTTTTCGGCATGGAGTTCCTCTATCTAAGGATATGTGTCCAAAGACACAAAAGGAGATAGAGAAAATGGCTAAGGTTCCTTATGCTTCGGCTGTAGGAAGCCTTATGTATGCCATGCTGTGCACGAGACTTGATATTTGCTATGCGGTTGGCATGGTTGCGAGATATCAGTCTAACCCTGGTGAAGGACACTGGACTGCGGTAAAGCATATTCTCAAGTATATGAAAAGAACTCGGGATTATATGCTTGTTTACCAGTCAGACGGTCTAACTCCTTTGGGTTACACAGATTCTGATTTCCAAGCTGATCAAGATAAGAGAAAGTCGACCTTGGGTTATGTGTTTATGATGGGAGGCGGAGCGATCTCATGGAGGAGTGTGAAGTAGAAATGCATCGCAGATTCTACCATGGAAGCCGAATACGTTGCTGCTTCAGAAGCAACAAAGGAGGCTGTTTGGCTCAGGAGCTTCTTACTGGACTTAGGGGTATCTTCAAGTGTGCCTAGGT